TATATATAAATATATACTCAATGAAAATCGATTGGAAAAAAACAATGAATGAACTAAGCTCTTTGGCTTTGGAGTTCTTCTAATTGTTAAATTTCACATGATGGTTCACTTGGGATCGTCATTCTTAAAAATTACATGATGGTTCACGTGGGATCATCATTATCAAAAATCACATGATGGTTCCCGTAGGATAATCATCATCAATAAGTGTTTGTTTGTTCTATTTAGCTTTAACATCGATCCACTCTAACACTGCAGTCAGTTCAGCTTGGTCGGCGACGGAGTGAACTACAACAGATTATCTCAAATCGTAATCAAGTTTGGAAAGTCAAGCCATTTATCCTCAACATGTCTCATTCAAAGCAAGTAAGTGAATTCTATGTAGGCACTGAAAAAGTTAGGTTTTGACAGGATTCAAACTTGTGCCTCTCAGATTCTAGCCGGGCGCCGCTACCAACTAACTAGGAGTCCACAGGCTGGAGGAATCTATGCTTAATCTTTAATGAAATGGATTTCTTTCAACCTGAGCATGAAAATCAAGTAAATTAATTATCTTCGCAGGTGACTTACGTTTTCCTGGGTCTTCTGGCCTTTTCTCAAGTAGGATTCGCAATTGTAAAAAGCACAAACTTAATCCTTACTACAGGTCATTAATTATCGCCCAAGGGCAAGATGGAGGGGGGCGTTTGGAGGAGTTTGCTTGTTTCGCGATAAAATTGACCTAACCCCCCTAAGGTTCTGAAATATTCTTATCATTCCCCCCTTCCCATCAATACTAGTTGATTAGCAGTCAATTCTGTATAGTCCCTTAATACTGTGTTGACGACTACTGATTCATCCTTGCTTCCTCCTTAAAACTGTGTGGTTCTCCACCAAAAAAATCTACCTCCCCCTGTGATAGACAAATACTCATCCCTTAGAGTGAGGAGACAATCTCAATAGTGATACAACGTTGAGAAAAATTCAGCAAGGTAAAACAAAGGATGAACTTGTTAGCTTTATTTTGCAAAGTTAACTTGCTCGTTTGAAAGGTCATTGATAGAGATGTACAAGTAATCCACTGAGAAACCAACTTAGGTCTCTCAATTATTAATTTCAGTAGTAAATAACCCTTTATTTACTTTCTTACCTATTCAGGGCATTACAAAAGACATGACTATGAAATATAAAATGGAGGGCTGTGTAAATGGACACCCCTTTACGATCAGAGGAAATGGAAACGGAAACCCTTACGAGTAAGTGTCTCTTAAAAGACAGACCAGAAATTATTTTATTACCATGTATTGCAATTAATTTTTAAACACAAATAAGAGCCTGACAATGTATCAGTGATGTTTTTTAGAAAAAGCAAAGTGAGCAAGATAAAAGATTCATAAGAAGATTTTCGGTCAAGCTATGAGCTTGTTGTTTTGATTTTTTAAAATAACCTATGTTCCAAAACATCATCGTCATCTTTCTCCAGAATCAGGTGAGGTGTAAAAGTTACTGCAAGTTATCTTGTAAAAGCTCAGTCACAACTTGATTCAAGTACGTACGATACTGTAGTCTTTTCCAACTTAATAAAGGGTATGAGTATTTGCCTAAAGCTTAAATCATCATG